TTCGTATAGTAAATCTGAGAGAATGGATTTGTATTTATAGCCAAAGTTGGGCTGAAATCTGAAGAGATGCAACTCTTCAGAATGGCTATTTTTGCAAAACAGCCCAAGAATAAATGCCATAACAAAAATGGCTATTTACTCAACAATAAAGAGGGAAAATTGAAGGGTAGTTAATTTTCTTTTACAAAAACAGAAAACTGAAAATTGGATAACTAAATTGGATTTAATATACTATTAACAAATAAATTTGGTCCAAAAATTAATCAATCGATCATTTGACCAAATCCGAAGCCGAAGCCGAAGCCGAAGCCGAAGCCGAAGCCGAAGCCGAGCCGAGCCGAGCGAGCGACGACGACGACGGCGCGAGACTTGCCTTCTTCTCAACTCTTTATGAGCTAGAAGAAGAGCAATTGCTTATATACCCATCAAAAAAAATTCCTCTTCCCATATGGGACAATCAAGGAGGGAAACTCAAATATTTCATTTTTCCCTCCATTTCCCATTCACCCTATTTTAAGCATTAATAGCTTAAAAACCCAACATCTATTCTGTTTATTAACTAAATTAATTTGTTTTCAGGAAAAGAAGTTGGAGCGTCCAATGAATCATGATGAACTATTCGAGGAGACACATATTGTAAAGAAGAAGAAAGAGACGGACAAGAAAGGTGGGTCGAGGACCGGGCCTCTACTACATGTAAGCTTTCACTTTTCTTTAAGTATTTTAATTTACTTTTATATAAATTTTGAAATACTAATTCAATTAAAATTTTTGTATAGGGTCGCTACCAAACTAACGTGGAGGAATTAATCCGCACTCAGCCAGCTGGTGAATCGGGCGAGCCAACCCAACCTTCGAACGAGGATGCTGAAAGAATATGGATGGAGTCTGCTGGCGGTCCAAAATGGGGGAAGGTATACGGGCTTCCTACTAAAAAGTTCCATCGCTATAAGTGTGGAATGCAAGGAATAGGGACTTCCTCGCAAGGCGAGCAACTTAATGGGAGAGCCTCTCTGCTATGCGGGAAACTGTGACAAAGCTCACATCCGAGCTAGAAGCGGCCAAGGAAAGAGAAAGAGTTATAGATGCTCAATTCCTTGGCATGCAAGCTCAGATCAGAACTCTCCTATCTACTGGAGCTTTTCCGTTGCCCCGATCTCGTGAGTCATCGCCAGAGGCTCGACTTGAACGTGAGCGTTCCTTCCGTCCTCCCCGTGATCGTTCCTCCTGTCCTCCCCGTGGTCATTCTTCCCGTCCTCCACAAGACCCTTCTCAACACCGTCTTTTAGATGAAAGTTCATCAGACCGTGATGATGATGTTGTACAAAACACTCCTTGACTTTTATACACTTAGAACTAGACAAATAGAACCGGGTTTGAACTAGTTGTAATAAGTTTTAACTTGATTTTGGATTTTTTAGTTCTATTGAACTTTAATTTGTTAGTTTTAATGTATTTATTGAATTGTTGTTGCTGTTGTTGTTGTGTTGTTATTTAGGGATTTTGGTATGCTGGCAGGTGGTGTAGCTGCCAAAACAAGCATTTTATGCCAAAATTAAAACCCAGAGAACCGACCAAAGTTGGTCGGTTTTAATTAAAAAAATAATTTTCTGTTGATTAGCGACCAACAGATTTTGGATTTTTTAGTTCTATTGAACTTTAATTTGTTAGTTTTAATGTATTTATTGAATTGTTGTTGTTGTTGTGTTGTTATTTAGGGATTTTGGTATGCTGGCAGGTGGTGTAGCTGCCAAAACAAGCATTTTATGCCAAAATTAAAACCCAGAGAACCGACCAAAGTTGGTCGGTTTTAATTAAAAAAATAATTTTCTGTTGATTAGCGACCAAGGTTGGTCGCTAAAGTTTTTAAAAAAAATTAAAAATTAAAAATTACCGACCAAAGTTGGTCGGTTAATGAACAAGGATTACCCAGATTTCAACTTTACCGACCAACTTTGGTCGGTATGGTTAAATTTTAATGTTTTAAAAAAAATATATTATTTTATTTTACCGACCAACTTTGACCGCTAATTTTTAAATTTTAATAATTAATAAAATAAAGTAATTTAAATACACCGACCAACTTTGGTCGGTAAAATCAAATTATTAAAATATGTTACCGACCAAAATTGGTCAGTATGTGCTTTAAATTGTACAGTTGGTCCTTTTACCTTTGCGACCAACCTTGGTCGGTATACTAAAACGATCACCAAAATAGAGACCAAGCGTGTTTGGACGCGCTTTGATCAGTAATTTGCCAAAACCGACCAACGTTGGTCGATTTTTATGGTCGCTAATTACCGAATTTCTAGTAGTGTTTGGTAGCATTGAAAGATAACTTCAAAAATTGAGAAACAATTTCTTGACGAGCGTTGAACTTGCAATTTTAGCATTTATTTGAATTTTTTTCATGTAACTTAATATCGGTGTGAATCAAAAGAATTCTTCTGACCAGTGACCATAGCAAATCATTTGAATTGATTTAACGAAAAAAATTTGACTTAGAAAGTACCACCTACCTCATATCCTCTCCTCTAATTTTATACATCTATCTAAATCACAATTTATGAAGTAGTAACAAATAGTCAACTACGTACCACATAATTGGTGAAAAAAATAAACACCCACCACATAGTTTGCCAAAAAAGTGAAGTGACATCTAACAACCATTTCAAGGTGGGTTGAAAGGCTAAAGTTATCTATAAATCAATGACTTTTTAACAAATATGTACAATTCTCGATGCACGATGTACAATGTCCCGAATGAAAAAAGCCAAAAACAAACCCATACTCTCACCAACTTCAACCAATTTTTGTCTTAGCAGCCAATGCACTGCGCACACCCAAAACTAGAAAGGCAAATATGTACTTTCATGATTGGTACACAGTATCAAAGAGGATCATCCTAAGGAAAGTTGGTGAGACATTTTCTCAAATTGATAACTATTTAAATTTTAAATTTCGATGTGATTTTTTTGACTTTTTAACTATTGTTAACATTTCTCCCGTTAATATTTACATAAAACTCAAATGAAAATATCCTCTTAAATTTTTATTTAATCAAATTACAGTCGTATAAATTGAAGTCCTTATATATATATACACCTAGGGGTGTCAATAGATATTTAAAAATCGACTAAACCGACCGAACAGTACCGTACCGAACCGAACCGATTTTTAGGTTTATTTTAAAAAAATCGTAGGTTTTTACCAAAATTTATAACCATACCGATAATTAGGGTAGGTTTTTTATTCTATGAAAATAAATCGAAAAAATACCAAACCGTACCGAATAAATTTAAAATATAAAATATATATTTATATATTAAGTTTAAAAATAATAAAGCACTGAATTTTTTCTTGGGCCTTGAAATTATGAAATAATTATAAGCCAACAAGTAATTAACTCAAAATCCTAATTCTCAAACCTATTATGCTACTCCTATTAAAACTAAATTATTTCCAGCATATTAACTAGCAAGACACAAGGTATTGTAGCGATTATGAGTAGCAAACTACAATGTATTGAATATGTTTCATTTCGTGTGATTTTGGATTTTTCTTTTTGAATATTTAGTCTTCTATAGACTTTATTCTTGAGTGCTAGCTTGGTTAATATCTTTCTACTCGTGTAATTTATATTTTTATTGTATTTGCTTAGTTTCTTTTACGTAGTTGTAGAATAGTTGATGGATCTATACACTAGCCATCTTTCATGTTTTCTTAATTCATTACCTTTTAAATTGTAAAAATGTCTAAAGAGAAGGCTAAGTCCTATAAAAGTACGTATGTTGTTGCATTCTACTTCTACTAGTGACTTTTACATGACATTCAAAAAAATTACTGAAAATTAACCGAACCGTACCGATGCCGAAGAGAAACCGACATAATTGGGACAATTTCGAAAAGTCTAATTTTGGTTATATATTATAGAATAACCAAAAAATTGGTATGATACAAATTTTATAAAATAATCGGCCGAACCGAACCATTGACACCCCTTGACCGACATACGCAGTTAAGCATGTATGTTTCATATTATTTAATTTAAAAATAAGAATTAACATAATTTCATAAGAACTTAGTTATATGCACGAAAAATAAAATGAATTTATACAGTATGAATATAAGTTAAATTAGCAATCAATGTTATTAAATAGAGTTACCTATTATTTTCTCAATTCCTTTTAAGTGACCTATTGTTAGACGGTGTACAAAAAAATTACATTATTAGTGCACGACACTTATAGCCTGTATGGCCAAGTTTCTAAATTCAACTTATTTTTGAAAAATATTTTTCTCAAAAATGCTTTTGCTGAGAATTAGTTTGTGTTTGACTAATTAATTTGAAAAGTACTTTTAAGCAATAATTAGTGTCTGATCAAGCTTTTTTTTTTGGAACCCTAGGAAAATACGCAGCCGCTACAGCCTCTGCCCTTCGGGTGAGCACTCTGTGCGCACTGGATAAATCCCCCACTGTGTAATAGCCTGCAAACCACATAGAGGATGTAAACTGCACTAGGCAAGCCCTGTGCGACAGGCTCAGATCCAGAAGGCATTGAGGTGGATCGGTCCCAGGTCATCACTATGGATAACCCCCTCCAAACCAACTGGGCCGTCCTGAAGGACAATCTGATCAAGCTTTAAAAAACGTGCTTTTAAGTGTATTTTTGCTAAAAAAAAATACTTTTCAAAAGAGCACTTTTTGAAAGAAACTATTTTTTCTACTTCAATAAAACTCCTTCTACTTCTACGGAAAATACTTTTTTCCTTTTAAAAACTTGGCCAAATACATTAACTTTGGAAATAAGTACTTTTTGCCCACAAAAAAAAAAAACTTTTGGCAAAAATGAGGCTTGGCCAAGCAGACTATAATAGTGAATTAAACTCAATTTTATATTCCTTGAATCAGCTCCGAGGTCCCACTGGGGTTGGTAAGCCATGGGTTGGTTGGTAAAAACTCCTATTGGAAAGTGAGAAGAAATAGAGCGAGTCATTGGTGGCACGCCTCTTTTTTCTCCTACAATTCAGCTTCTATATATACTTCCCCTAAAACTTCACTACTCTGCCCATACACACAAATAAGCATCTCTCTTTTCTCTCATTTTTTCTTCAATCTTTCCGCAGATCTATAGTTTTTTTCATTTTAAGGTCAGTGTTTTTCAAATTTATTACGCTGAATTTACGATTTCATTCTCTAATTTTTTTGTTTCATTAGATTTAGATCTGGTATATATTCTGCATGCATCTATGACTTGTCATAGATTTCAGTTAAATCATCATTGTTCTGTTGATGTTTTTCTTTGATTTATTGCAAAATGATGTTTTGTTTTCTTATTTTGATGTTATTCATATGTTTGTTACGTTATTTTTTGCTATCGCTCCACGTAGTACTTAGATCTCGTTAATAAAGCAGACACTTTTGTTAATTTTCATGATATTGAAATGTTTAGTTGCAATTAACTGTAATTTGTCATATTACGTTACTTGGATCTCATTGCTAAACTGGCTCGTACAGTACATTGAGTTGGATCCTGTTACAAATATGACTTTTTGGCCAATGGATTTGGTTATTTTGGTGTAAATGATCGAATATAAAGAATTATCAATGAAATACGTTATATCATATGCTTAAAATGAAATCACTCAATATTTTCTTGGATGTGGGAGCTTAGATCAAATAAAGAACCGGTCTTTGAAAAAATTTATAGTAGTGAAAACGGCGTAAAAGACATGTTGTTGATCTGAACTTTATTATTCATCATTCTATTCCACATAGTGTTGGTTCTCTTTTATATTATCACTGAGGATTCATATAGTCGAACCCAACTTGTTTGGGATTGAGGTGTAGTGGTTGTTTAGGTATGTCCCCTTAAGTTGATGGAATTCTCTGTTTTCACATGTTTATTAGCAGCTTGCCTCATTTTCCCGTGAATAGAACATTTTGGGATAGAAATGATGACATATTTTCTTGATCTTATCAGCTAGACATGGAGACTTTCTTGTTCACCTCAGAATCAGTTAACGAAGGGCATCCCGACAAGCTTTGCGACCAGGTCTCAGATGCCATTCTTGACGCTTGCCTAGAACAAGATCCTGAGAGCAAGGTTGCATGTGAAACCTGCACAAAGACAAACATGGTCATGGTCTTTGGAGAGATTACAACCAAAGCCAAGGTGGACTATGAAAAGATAGTACGCGACACTTGCAGAGGCATCGGGTTCACCTCAGCTGATGTTGGCCTTGATGCTGACCACTGCAAAGTCCTTGTCAACATTGAGCAGCAGAGCCCTGACATTGCCCAAGGAGTCCATGGTCATCTTACCAAGAAACCAGAAGAAATCGGAGCTGGTGACCAAGGTCACATGTTTGGCTATGCCACAGATGAAACTCCTGAACTAATGCCCCTTACTCATGTTTTGGCTACTCAGCTTGGTGCCAAGCTTACTGAAGTGAGGAAGAACAAGACTTGCCCATGGCTCAGACCGGATGGCAAGACACAAGTTACAGTTGAGTACAAGAATGACAATGGTGCCATGGTTCCTATTAGAGTTCACACCGTTCTCATCTCAACTCAACATGATGAAGGTGTCACAAATGAGCAGATTGCCCAGGACTTGAAAGAGCATGTGATCAAGCCCGTGATCCCAGCGAAGTACCTTGATGAGAACACCATCTTCCACCTCAACCCATCAGGTCGCTTTGTGATTGGTGGTCCACATGGAGATGCTGGACTCACTGGAAGGAAAATTATCATTGACACCTATGGAGGTTGGGGTGCTCATGGTGGAGGTGCCTTCTCAGGGAAAGATCCTACCAAGGTGGACAGAAGTGGTGCTTATATTGTGAGACAAGCAGCAAAGAGTGTGGTTGCAGCAGGACTTGCTCGCCGCTGCATTGTCCAGGTTTCTTATGCAATTGGTGTTGCAGAACCACTCTCCGTGTTTGTTGACACTTACAAAACCGGAACCATTCCAGACAAGGATATTTTGGCTCTGATCAAGGAGAACTTTGACTTCAGGCCTGGAATGATGGCAATTAACCTTGACTTACTCAGAGGAGGTAACTTCAGGTACCAGAAGACTGCTGCTTATGGTCACTTTGGCCGTGATGACCCTGATTTCACCTGGGAGACTGTCAAGGCCCTCAAGCCTAAAGCTTGAGAGAGTTCCTCACTCACAACATAAACTACCAACTTTCTTGTGCCTATTATTCTTGTTGCGGACCAATAAACAAGCTACATTGAGTATATTGATACCCTATTCTTACGGTTAAGGCCCTATTGAGTGGAGGGAGACCGAGGAAGTGTCTTCATAATTTCGAGGATTCTAAGAGCTCCGATAGTTGATCCTGTTGATTTATTTTCTTGTTTTTGCAGTACTTAATTTCAAAGTGACCTCCGAAATTTATTTCTGATGTACCCGGATACAAACGAGTTCTTTTGTCATTGTGTTCATTTATCTAATGAGAAATGCCGTATGTTGAACTATTGGTTCTGCCTACTTTCTTTAAACGGGATATAATTTTTCTTTTTTTAAGTAGTATGTTAGCTTTACAAGATGTTCTAGCAGTGGAGTTCTATGTGCACAAGCATCAAGGGTTGGTTATAATAAGCAACTATGCTAAAAGCTGGTATTATTTATTATTATCTTATTCTTCAATTCAATTACTACTGTTGTTTCCTTTGATTTGGTTATCTTACTATTTTTGCTATCAATATTTTGTTTTCTTTAGTATTTTTATCATAGCATCTTTACTCTTGTATTTGTCGAACATGTTTTATAAACGTTTTTCTTGAGCAGAGGGTGTCTATCTAAAATAGCATCTCTAAGGTAAGGATAAGGTTAGCGAACACTCTACTCTTTCCAGACCCCACTGTGGGATCACATTGGGTATAAGGTCTAGACCCCACTGTGGGATCACACTGGGTATAAGGTCTATCTGAAACAATCTCTTTAAATAGGGGTAAGGTTTGTGTACATTCTACTCCCGAGACCCCACTTGTGCAATCACACTTATTTTTATTGTTGCTAAAAGCTGGTAGATTACTTTTGAAAGTAATGAGGAAGAACTACCAATTCCAGTCATGTGATACTAGAAAAGTATGATCATACAGTAACTACTTCCCAAGAACACTGAATTGTGTAACTGCAAGGGCTTGGAATACCTTCTGAGAGTACAACAGAAATCAGGCAATTCCATTAAACATCTCATGACAGACCCTCTCACTGAATTCAATAACTTAAAATCACGAGTCTCGTTAATTTATTTTTCACACAGCTGGAACAAATATATGATAATGAACTAATAATCTCTTAAAGTTGCAATACCATAAATAAAACCAGTAAAATCAAAATGGTAAGATGACGTTATGAATCATCATCCTCGTTATTGTCTTATTTATTGCAAATTCTAGATTGTAAACATTCTATCCTCTTTGGGTTCTTCATTAAGAAGGCAAAAAAAAAAAAAAAAAAAAGCACTCATAAAAGGCAGGTACTTTCTACTAATTATTTGTATGTTAAAATTGTATATAAAATAACATTTTTCGAAGATACAAGATCTATTAGGTTCAATTCGATATTTTTCGGTTTTTATCTTATAAGAAAAACAATCTTAATTATTTGGTGAAAGATCTCCGGTAAGATTTATAGGTATCGTTCGTTCTCCAGTTATATGCATATGAAGAGTAATTTCATAGCTGAATCTGTTTGGATGTCCTTTATGAAGTAACTGCCATGATTATGATAAATGCAGTGTCAAACAATAAATTTGGATGTAAAAAGTTGAATCTGCATTAACTGAAGTAGGTAAATCTCTCCATTTCCATAATGACAGGTTGAATTGAAGCCTATTTTTTCAGTACATGAGGCCAAATTTGTAAATCTTTTTCGAGTCTTCCTGCTTTCACCTTGTGCATTCTCTGAATATGGTATATTTGGATGTGAATGAAAGCAGACACTACGAAAGTGTTTTATGCCACTTGGGATTTTTGGTATTCTTACCTCTAACTTTAATAGTTGAGCTTAAATGGAGAGACTTGATTAGTGAAAATTCCATATAGCGGACTTCAATTTGTTTGGAACTGGAGCGTGATTGTTTATCTCAGCTTGATATTATGCCATGTGAGTGTACACTTTGGTAGAGGATAACTCCACTTCAAAAGTTCGAATTACACCACCAAAAGTAAAATAAAAAATAAAAAATAAAAAGAATGTTGCACGAGATGAGCTTGCTTGAAGTGATATTTTTTGTTGATTGCTAACGGTAGGAATCAATCTAGACGGAAAGTATAAGAGAGGGTAAATGTAGACTATTTTCAACAGAGTTAAATTTGGCATTTTTCCCTTTTTACAAATGAGCAAAGACCCTCAAGTCTCCCTTTCACAAGCAGGTAGCAATCTCTGTCCAGAGAAAAGTCAAAATTTGCCATCTTTTCATTTCAACCAAGATGCTGCTAGGGCTATAAATCTCCACTCGATAAAACGTATATGTTGCCGTTAACAATACCAACAAAAAATCGAAATATAAGAACTATTGTGTCTGAATACAGCTGCAATTAAGATCTCAAAGGTTTCAATAAGCCTAAGGGGGAAATCCGCTTATTAACAAAAGAGAAGCCTGTATCTGCCGACCCTACTACTTGCCAGAAAAAAGATGTGCTTCTAACTGTGTCTTGATATGGTGATTCCTCCAATAAACACAATAGAGTCACATTGTACTGAATATTGAAATGTCGCTCCTGCTTTCTTTGTCATGTCCGTTCTCCTCAATTGTACATGGAATATTGAACCCTTTCCCTTTGGCGGTTGCATTTATCGCCTTCAGGAGTGTGGAAGTTCCATGGTCACTCAATTTGAGAGAATGCACCAGAATAAAAATTCTGGCACATTGATTGAGAAGCTGCTTCTATTCTTGTCGGATCCTACAGTAACACACAAAATACTATTGAACTTGATACAGAAATATAATGCTTCAAAACCAAGTGACATCTCCAGTAAAAACTCTTACCTTTCCTTCAAATCTAATTATAAGAGGTCCTTTTCTTGATCCCCGATAACCTCCTTCATATCGCAGGAAATAAGAACGATTTAATATGTTAAAGAAAAGGAAGGAAAAAGGGAAAAAAGTGGGAATAAGTGGTGGGATATACAAGTCATTAATCTTGTAAATGATATGAAGAACTTACCAATGTTCATATCAGGATATTGAAGGCAAAGCTTTGACAGAGGTTGAGCAATTTCCACCTGCAACTCATGGAGCAAGTTGTAATTGATAATTTGCACAGACAATATGTTAGATACTAAAACAACTTAACAGGAGAGAATTTGATAAGATACATCATAAAAGCTCACTTAAAAGGAGGAAAACCAAACCTATGGAATCAATAAGATTGCACCTCAGTTCTAAAAGGTAACCTATGCGTTTTCCAAATCGAGGAAGTAAAATACTACTCAGAATATTGTTGACTATGTGGCGTAAGGATCAGAAGCTCGCTGTGATGATGACTATCTGGGTATAATCACTCTGATCTGATGCCCTTTTGGCTGCAAGAATACCTTCCCAATGCTTCATTCACTTGATTTGTGAGTCATAACTGCTCTAATAAGGATTGTACTAGATTTCTCACTCCATTACTATTAAGCATATCTAGAACTAGGACACACGTGACAAGTGATGAAGATCCTTTTTGTCGGTAAGGACTTGAAACTTTTTCAGAAGAACATTAAAGAGCATAACTTGGTAAAACGAGGAGGAGTTCCTACAAAATGGTCACCAGCAACTGGATAAGTTGTTATGCCGTCAAGTATATCTTTTACCTAATGAAAGAAACATAAAGCTCTACCATCCCAGGAGTGTAGAGAAACGAAACTTGAAAGGCCACTTATTAATGCATCTGGATAAAGAGTTTAAGAGATGCATATGAAGAATATGATATATCAATCAACTACTCGTCAATCTCAAACTCGTTAGGCTTGACTTAAGGATACCATATGATAAGGAAGAAACCTTGATTTCGGCAGTTACAGAGGACCGGAAAGATCACACATCAACGAGAAAAGGAATCAAATAAGGAAGCCAAAGACAATCTAAGAGAGGGTTCCATGGAACTCACATCGGAAAGAGTTGTTGCCAAGCTTTTTGAAACAAATGGTGCCATCAATACCAGGTCACCGTTAGATTTTGCTGATTCAATCAGACAATCCCATTGCAAGTCCAACTCAGCAACATTTGTTGCAGTGAGGATGATCACGTTACCGCATTTTATCTACAAAAGAGAACACACATGCCCAAAATAAAAGGTCAACCTTCAACTTCATAGGTATCTTAAACTCACACGTCAAGAGAAACTACATGAATATAATACTAAGACAGAGCTCCTTGTAATCAAAAGAATGAATATAAGAGAGAAAGGATATGATAGAGAAGAAAATGAGTCAAAAATAAAGCTGAGTTCACTATAAGTGATCTGTTACTTCTGATTAATTTTGTACACAGGCAACTCAGGAAAAATAGAATAACTTGCTAGCACTATGTAAGAACGTTCAAAATGACTTTCACGGAGTACAGATCCATTCTTTCCACTTTCTAAAATCATCAGAGCTCGACGCCACCGACTCTTTCTCCATTTCTTTTTATATAAAGTTATCTATTTTGAACTTCCCCTCTTGTGGGAATATACTGGGTTTGTTGTTTTGTTATCTATTTTGAACTTGAAAGGCCAATGAAACAGTAGCTATGCCAAGGATAATTTTTGGTAAAACAGAAATACTGCAACAGTCACTAGAGGTATTAAGAATAAAAACTTAAATCAACCAAAGAGCAAAAGAAAGTATAAGAAGGGGAAAAAATTTGCAAAGGGTGAAAATGAAGAAATTTTTCATCACGACAAACAAGAGAATGCTAGAGTCCATTGGTTTGCTAATAGGACTTCAGGTGATGCCCAATTCACAGTACTCAGTAGAGGATTGATCCATTAATAGATACCTAAAATATATGTCGATAAAAAAAGTATAGACAGAAAGAAAAGACCATTACAGCATACATACAAAAACCAACATCAAAAATAAATTTGCGTTTCCTTTATGGATACCTGGACCATGGTTTCAAACTGGACGTGAAGGTTTTTAATACACTATGGCAAAAACTCAGGAAACATGGATTGCTTGAGAATAAAATCCAATAATGTTACACAGTCTACACATAAGGAGGGAATCAGATTAGAAAACAAAATAATCATAATAACCATAAAATCTTGGATAATGCCTCCACATACCAAAGGCACAGGCAGCTGTTCATGATGCAATAATTCTGTAATACCCTCAGGCAACTGTGCCATCTGCAATAGGACAGGAAATGATAATTTAATTCCAACAGGCAGAGAAGTTCTAATTGTTGGAATGTTAGAAATCATAAATTTAATGACATTTGAAAAATATAAATAACATCTTCTCCCTGATACTTATATATTATTTTAGTGTCTGATTCATTGCACTATTTTCTACCTTTCCGAGTCAGATTATTTTGTACATCAGCTACACTATGGTGCATGATTCTGAATTAGAGATTATACAAAAAGATCTCTTGACAAGTGTTCTAGAACAACCTTGGCCAAATAATCAAGCCATATGTTTATCTTGTGCAGTATATATTATCGACTCAGTCCATGTTATTCATTCCCCCAGCAGAAAAACAAGAAATGAATTTGCAAAGACTGATTCACCCGGTAGCACTAAGAGAACTAGTTTTCCTGTATTCTCCTTCTTCAGTTGGTATTAGACATTAAATGATACTTTTAAGTTGCTAGGTGCCTCCAATGTTTAACGTTTTGTCTATAAAGACAATACGGAACAGGTTCAACATTTCAATCATCAACAAATGAAGATGCAGAAATGCAATTTCTGAAGTTCCAGGAAGAACAAGAACAGTTCTGGTCTAGTGAACCCAAGGAGCTCCAGTGTTTCCTTTTCAATCATCACTGAACCCAAAATAAGGAGCTTTTCTGCCAAATTTCTTAATTTCTATCAACAGGTAAAAACTCAAAATCGAATTTCCTCGGTCGTCACGCTCTTTAATTACCATAGGTACTACAGAAACTATGCTATTCTTCTCCACTCTTGCATATATAAGTGTAATGAAAACTTCAGGCCCAGTGGAACTTAGGAATGAATATTGGTTTAACCTCGTTCTTGTCACCGGTGCATTTCTCACCAATCAGGTGCCTTAGATGTTCTTCAAATTCTTCATCAGGAGCCTGCAAAATGAACTTATGAGAAGATTAGAGACACTGATACATTATTACAAACCGGAGTATCAAAATAACAGTTTTAAAAGAATGCCCTGTCAGCAGCATGACTTGGAAAAGACTGTTGCATCTTTCAGATACGTTGGACATGACCCAGGGATAGCACATTTCAAAAGAAGTTTGTGGATTTATGGATATTTAATACTTATTTCTATGTATTTTGTATATTTATAAACCAGAAAAGAAAACCGTGTACAAAAAGGTAGTCAGATATTATACATTATTAAACGTAATTATGGAATCAGACATCTAGGTAACTTTATCTTGGTAATTAATAACAAGATTTCTACCATCCATCTCTTCGTCGTGCTTTTCTTTTCCTCCTCAATTTAATGATGGTAACTTGACCTTCTAGCCCAAAAGAATAGAAATAAAAGTAACAAATTGCAGCTTCAAATATGCCCTTTATTATATGCACAAATAGACACTAAAGCCCAAAGGTAAAAGAAAAACTTAAAACAAAACTGATGGTGCATCTGATGCACATTCCACTAAGCGTGTGACATGTGCCATGTCAGACAAAGTCATGGAAAAATTTAAGTATAGCAGAGAGAATTTTATTTCTATTTCCGGTAATATCTCACTAGCAATACAAATTTGTGAAGCTTGCTGAAAGGGATGATTAATTTGAAAGCTATTTTCACGCTAAGTCATGCAACACGAAATAGCAGAAGGATCCAGTAAATCGATAATACATACCAAGCGAACACCTAAAGCTTTTGCAACTCCTGCTACCGTGACATCCGAATGCAATGGACCCACCCCACCATATATAAATACCTGTAGAGGGATCAATTTCGGAATAGATATGTCAACACAGGGAGACAGAACTCTACCCTCTCTCGAGCGCTCACACATACAACAGACTGGTGCATATACATCAAACAAGCCCTATAGAAGCAATGAAACAACTAAATAAATACATCCATGCGGAAGAAAAACATTTACCATGTCATCTGTGGACTTCCGCCTCTCAACTTCCTCGGCCACAGAATCTATCTAAATATGAAAAGAATGTTATCAGAACAAAAGCTAGCATAAAGTTCCTCTTATAAATGCAAGGTCCATCAAAGATTTAAGTATCAAGGTGGAAATTGAGCAGAAACTGACTTCAACTTAATGGGAGTTATAAAGATGAAGAAACATGATGCTGCTCCAGGAAAGTGAACGACAGACCTTTCTACCTAAAAGTTGGCTCGGCATGGTCGAGAGAATATTTCAATTGCTAGGAGATCATGAAGCTTGTTACAAAGATTCAAAGCTTTTCTTTATACAATTTGGGAGTCACTCTATAAAGTTTATAATTCAATCTGCTTTGTAGTTGTTAATTGATTTAAATGTGCATCAACTTGCAAGAATTTATTGCCTTGATTGTTTTGGCTGCAAGCTGGAGTGCTGCAAAAGTTGAAGAACAGAATGCAGGGCAAAAGGAGAAAAAAAAAGGAAGAAAACAATCCAAAAAGAAAAAATGGAAAATTAATGTCAAGCTCATGCTTACCACATAAGTTGAAAAAGAAGCAAAAATCATAACATATTACTCACGTCATTTCGAGTCACAGCAAGCAGCGATACCGCCCAACCAATGGAATGGAGCTTTCTACACAAAAAAGACCTCAACTTGTCCTCTACAGTGCCAAACCTGAGCTATGGAACCAAGATAAACATATCTGATAAGCAAGCAACTACAAATAGGCAAATAGCAGAATACCACAGTAAGGGTCATAGCACATGAAAATATTTATTTGGTACCAATTTCTCTGCCAAAGATATACTATGTGCAAACTGAAAGATGTTTTTTGCATTACATATATACTTTGACAAATGGAATCAAAAGAATTGAGGAAGCCTCTCCATGTTCAGCTGGCCTCCTAATATACCTCAAAATTTGTTTAAATAACATGTCAACTAGACTCTATCACATGCCTGCCCTCACAGTGTAACTATCCTCGTAAACTACCAAAAATATTCCACACAAATAAAGGATGGGAAACCTCCGAAATGAGTCTTGTGAAAATGAAAGGACACTGCTGTTTATACACCAAAATAACCTCCTTGATGCCTGTTCAATTCTCGATTGAAAGTTTAACCTAGAGAGGAAAAATTAGTTTGAAATAGAGGATAACTCATTCTCAAAGATACGTTATTAACACTAGATTCCAGATAATTAGATCCATATAGAAGTGATCCAATGCCGGACATCCCAAATGATTCAGTTGTATCTAAAAACAACACAAGTATAATCCAAGTTGAATATCCAACAAGAAGAGAATCAGAAAGTAAAATATATGCTCCCGACAGATTGACTTGAATTTCTAAAGAAGAAATACCGCGGAACAAAAATCAAGAAGAGTTGTATAAGGAACTTATCAGAAAATAGATAAAAAAGAACAGATGTACATGGGATAAGAGATTGGCTCAAAATGCACCACAACTCAGATATAATGACAAGAAGCCTCAGAAGAACATGTCACCATAATACAAGGAGCATCAGATTTAAAGGTGTAGAAAAAATAACTTACAAAATTTCATCACCCACAGCTATGACTGAAGCAGTAAGCACACAATCGGAATTCAAATCCTTGAATCCATTGCTAATGGAAGATAATTGGTTCTTTGCCCTTCCAGCTCTTTCCAGCCTTCCATCAGGAAGTAAATAAGCTGGTTTAAACTTTTCTTCACTGTTGTTGCTGTTACTGATGCACAATAGTGCATTAGGAACAGTGTCATGAATGCTCCCTATTGAAGTATACCTATGAAATCAGTGAAATAGAATGCTCAAATAAATGCAGGTGCGCCTCTATAAGTAAGATGGACTCGAAAAGAAAAAGTTATTACTACCACTTCACATGAGCAAATATGTCATAGTTTTAGTATAAATCTCGAAAACAATGATAAAGGAAAGTTGTTCATCCTTTTCATGCAGCAGAATAAAGAACTAATATAAAAAAAAAAATTGAAGCAACATAACAAAAAAGTTACCCCTGATCATAAAGGCTGCAGTACCGAACCTTGCATACCAAAAGGAAGGCCCATACATCTCTGCCATATCAAACTTAAGAGGTTAGTCATTTTGTTTGCCAAAAATAAGAAAACAAGCACAAGAATAGACGACTGCTTTTCAAAAGAAAAATAGCTAGATGAACATCTTCCATGGAAAAGTCAAAAAAGAAAACTCTGCCAAAGGTAAAACAGGAGATGCTGTTAACTGAATGGGTGAGCTATAAAAGAAAATGCCTACAGTAGAACTACATGCAAAGAAATGAAATAATGCCTAAGAACTTGTTCTTTGTATATTGCATGAGTCAGATTATATTGGATCGGGTTTTCCCATTTATTGATTATTGGAAAGAAAAGGGTCTAAATGGAGCGAAACGGATAGTGAAGATTCATGTAGCTGACCACAACAAGCTTGGATTAAGGTGTTGTTTGTTATTGTTGTTGAGTCGTTCCATTAAAATTGTCTGTGTCCCTTCTTGGTGCTAGCAAAGAAGTGAAAACATAATTTTAACTCCTACTTAAAACTCTAAGTAAAACTGTAAAAGGCCAAGTATAGACCTTATTTTATCAGTAAAAGACACTACAATCATAAAGCTTGATTAATGCTCACCTAAATACAATAGCCCAAAAGACCATCATCACTCGCCATGAGCAATAACAGATGCAATATTGATAGTACGTTAAAGCATATATGGCAGTGCACACATGAAATAATCTTTAACATACTACACAGTAAATCGTTTCTTTGACTTGCAAACTTCAACCTTTTTGATTCCCTGGACCTCACATTAAACTTTATATTCAAACAAAATAAATGCCAATTTCAAAAGCTAATCCAAGTAGTTTAAAATCCATCCTCATCCTCCCAGCTATGATTCAGAGGACCTTCTATGTTGATGTGTTTCATCAAAATAGCAGTTCTTTTATCCATAAATTTCTGAAAAATACTAATTTCCGCAATTAGCACATAATCTTAATATAACTCAAGCACTTTAGCATGTTTTGCAATTCCTTTTTCTTTAGCAAGTTCCTCTTTCTTTCTTTTTCCTTTCTCGTGATAACTGAGAAATCCCCTGTGAATTAGCTGGACCTAGCCCAATTGGCCCACACATACAAAACTCGCGGAAATATGGTCCTGCCACGCTACACTGCTTCCAGTTAAATATCGGCTCCTTGTTAATGGTAGGGTCTGAACTTGTGATGTGTGCTCATACACATCTCGTGATGCGTCCTTACCACTGAAATCAAGCCTACTGTCGCACCCCGCATTTTGGGGGTCATGTCATCCATGAGGACTGCGTGCTATAAGGCGGCAGGGCGAGTGTCAGTTGCGTAGGCGACATGTGCTGACGATGCGTTGTGAAGGAGCATCAGGCAGAGGGGCCATGCATGAGGCAACAACCATCAAGATATGTGGTGTTGCATGTCCTAAGAGTGCCAAGAGAGTTTAGCGAGGACCTGGGATGAGACCAAGGGTCTAGCCAGCGGGTGACGGCCACGTACGTGCCTGAATGTCACAGCCGTACGTTTCCGAGCTACAAGGGGAATCTAGGGATTTCGGTAGTAGGCCTTGTTCCTAGTATGCTCTTATATATGCTTACCAAGTTTGGCGTCATTTGGAGTTCATTTGCCTATGGGCTTGACTTCGCCAAGGGCAGTGGAATTGTCGTAATTTGCTGAAGTGTCCGAAGGCTATAACTATTTCCACGAGTATGGGAATGGGGTGAAACTTCATGGAAGTGTGAAGGAAGTCAAGAGAAAGCTTTAGGAACAGACGGCACCTTATTCGGAGTCCGGATGAGTGAGAAAGGGTCATTATGATTCTCTGGCCAAAACATGTCTACTAGGGGATCATGGGCTTTTTTATTTTAAGCATATATAAGGGGGGCAGAGGTGTTGAAGCTCAGCCAGCCTCCCCCGTGCGTGCTACCACCAAGCCGCACCAAGTGAGCTACCTAGAGGGGGAACCTTAGGGGCCTGCCTAGGCATCTCAAAGGAGTGTCATAGATATCCATACGAGCTTGGGAACTCTATGGACGGCGCGACGCCTCAGGGCTAGCGTTGGGCACAAAATGAGCATCGGAGGCTTGACGTGTGGGACGATTATGCCCTGTGGGCTACCGAAATGGTGATAAAGACCTCCGTGCCGATTGGATACTTGAAGCACCTATCTTAGGGGCCTCATGTGTCAACTTGTGAGCTTGGCTTGGGTTCAGCTAGGCAAGCAAGGGTTCGTTGGCCTAGACGTGCAGTTGTGGGGCAACACTGCACTATGCGGGATGGAAGTATGTCGCGAGGGCTATGTTTGGCTATGCCATAAAACAATTGTGGGCATGCTATGAAAGACGCACATGACAAAGGCCAAGGACTAAAGGTTGCCCTACTCGGGCGAAGCACAAGCTGGGTGCGGATGCACGAGGCGAGTGTCAAGCTTGAGGATTGGGCTGTGCACGCGAGAGCGATGCTCAGTGCTAGGCAAGGGACGGACATGTCCTAAGCCAACCCCGGGTGTGCGCATGGATGAGATCCAGCAGATGAGAAGCGCCACAGCTAGTCAAGGCTATGAGCCTAGACATTAGACGGGCGGCACAGTTGGAGCAAGCCTCCTAGGCAAGCTTCACCACAGGCACAACATCGTGCTAGAAAACCTGGAAAAGATAAAAGGCTGGCCTGTAGTGTGGGGTGACTACAGGCGCCGCACGGGCTATTTGGTGCCGCTACCGTCCGGAAAAAGGTCGGCCCGTGACACTAGGGAGCTATTATCCTTTAGTAAGTTCTTGTTGGATTAATTGGTTTAAAATCCTAGATGCAGATGCAACCTTCGTTTTAATTCCTCGAACAAGTAAGTCTTAATCTTGATGCCAAATATCAAAGCATTCAAAAGCCACTGCTCCAGCACTCTCGAACTTTAGAGGCAATTATGCATACTCCCACAGTAATACGATAAGAAGAATTGATATACGGAGGGTTTATTAGGCAACGTCCAACCTGTATGACCAATCCAAAATTGGATTCACCCTCATGAAAGCTGGCCACCCAGGTGAACTGGGCGAGAATTGCTCCTGGCCTACCTGATAGACATGTAACCATATGCATCAGTCAGCTGTCAGCCATAGACCAGATTTATCAAGATTTTGACAATCACCGACTAGTTGGAAAAGTTTAATAGGTATTTCATTACCGCAGTAGGATCACCAATTCGGACACCAAGAAAAATAGCTCTAATTGGATTAGCCTTAAGCAGAGCCTCCAAACCTGATTTGAAGTCAAGGCGAATAATATCCATTTGCAAATTGTAACTGCTCAGAGAAGAAGAATCAGTTTAAATGATAATTAATGTAGTGGTGTCATTAGAGAGAATCAATCCTAATATGTTGTTCATATAGGAGGCACGAAAGACAAGTTATCATTTCTCACGTACGTGGCTGCAGTTTCATAAGTGAATGAATTGATTTCAGGGAAAGCAGACGCGCTCTCAAAATATATTGTCCGGATTGGAAATGTGTTTTCACCATCAACAACATCTTTTGAACAACTTTCTTCAGCTCTATGCAAAAAATAGCCTGCTCTCAGTAGGTGAAGCAAAACCTGAATTGCAAAATCAAACATCACATATTTGGTTAAACACAACAGCAATAACTACTTGCCTCAACCCCAAACTAATTGGAGTCAGTTATATGAATTCTCTATACCCGTTCCACTCCATTTGGACGCTTTGCATCTCACTACTAAATAATTTGTCTTCGGAAATAATCTGCAATTATCTAGAACCAGAAATTCTCTAAATCTCTCACATATCCATACATTTCCATACAGCGTCTAACCAAACTTAAAAGACTTCTTTCAAACACCAAATCTAATATGCATATTCGGTTAAACAAGAAGGAAAAAGACTGAGAGTTTAGAGATGAGAAGCATGTAAGAAACTTACAGTAGAATCTTTCCCTCCATTGAAGCTCAATGCAACCTCTTGTATACTATTTACGGGGTCGGGGTTACAAACAGAAGGGAAAAGGATGAGAAACATTAAACCGAGTACACCATATAAGAAAGTGCTATGATAACTACCAAATCAACTACTGTTCTTACTTCTTAGCATGATATTCCTTCTGTCCCATTTTTTTCCATATTTTTTAATTAGTTTGTTCGAAAAAGAATGACCGCTTTCTATAGAGGGAAAATTTTATCATCTCCAAAAGTTCAGATTAACAAATAATAATACAGCTACATATTATTGTATTCAATATTCTGCAGTACTATTTAGCATTGTACTACCATGATAAATGTAATAACTAACTGAAGCTTTATTCTCTTAATCTCATGCAAAGTCAACCTGGTTGAACAAATTGAAACTAAAGGAGTCTAACATGTTAAAGACTTGAGGAACAAGATAGAAGTAGAACATTCACCTATTTACTATTTGGACAGCATGACATAGGGTTCTTAACTAAATAATGTGCTTTAAAATCATATGCACCACATACTACAAACTAAGGCATGTACTGCTCTATCTACAGAACATAAACTCACTGATTTTTCAGAAGTTCACTTGAGCACAATGCTACACTGAATCAATCAAGTCGTAAACAGACAACACTTCATCAAATACCATTAAATTAATGACAGAAATTAAAAAAAAAACATTTGAAACTTTGTCCCTAATGATAGTCAGTTGACCTTAATTTACTACTAACACAAACACTCATATTTTCGAGTTTACAGATGTAAACATCATTATCATTCTTTTATGCTTAGACCATGTTTGTTTGTCTCATAAAACCTTAAGAGTGAAGTTCAAATTCCTACTACAATTTACTTAAAAAGAACTAATAGCACCACACAAAAGCATGACAGTAAGCAATTAATGCAGTGTTGACCCATTCCATACTGGTAACAGATTACAATTCTCAAACTTCTATCCTTCATTATAACATGCTGATAATTTTCCTTCTGCTCAGCAATCTTTTACCAGATCGATTTGACTGTAAAACTAATCTCCCAGTAAGTACCTATATCCAACTAAAATCTCTTTATACCCATCACTTGAACTAGATTGTAATCAAGTATGCATGAAACTCTGCTCGGGTAGCAGAATTTAAATGCTGCTCTTGAGAACAGCAACATTTTCCTCCTATTAGTCAATCAGTGCTTGGAGGAGGAACCAATCTTACTAAAAGCATTCCTAGAAAGCCCTCTGGTTTGTCTGCTTCAAGCTTTCGACCTATGCAGTTGTCCCAATTTACATGTTGAATTGTAACTTAACAACGGACCATTTTTAGGTCATTTAGTAAGGAGAAAAAAATTTCATCATGAAATCATTTTCTAGTATTTGGAAACTGGAAATTGTTTTCGAAGAAAAATATATTCCAACAAACATACCATAGTCTTACTTCATACTACCTTCTTTCAACCAACACTTGAATTTCATCTCTAACACTCAAAACATTACCATCATACGGTTATCACGTATCACCTAATTTTTACCCAACCAAACACTAGAAATAACCTAGAAAAGATTACCTAAACAAAAATATGACCATTTTCCACATAGCTAACGCACATATTGTTCTATACTCAAGTTTATTGACAAGTTAAGTATCATTATACTAATGCAACTAAGAAAAAATGTTGAATCAATTCACATAGCAAGAACAAGACTCTCAAAAAGACTAGTGGGGAGAAAGAGAAGCTTACGAATACAGAGCGAGCGCTCTTTTAATAACGTAGATGGCATTACTATACTTTGTCTTCAATCTACTGTCCTCACATTCTCTAATTGCTTTATCAATCTCCATCTACTCTTCACAAAAACTGAATCTTTCTGCACAGAAGCAAAAAAACAAGACACCCCATATATCAATATCTCTGAATTTTTACAACTAATCATGTATATCCTTAAATAGATAAATAAACCTTCTTACACAGATTTAGAGAAGAAAATGGATATCTGCAGAATTAAATATAAAACTAATACTTGCTCTTTCCCAATGTATTGGAGCTAAATCAACTAAGATTAGTTCAAAGTTTTCAGTAAATTCTATGTACTTGAAAACTAGAGAAAAATTATGTACCGATTTGGTAAAACATATATTTTAATTGTTACCAACAAATGAACTACTCCAAAGAAAACTGAAAAGATGAAATTTTTAAAAGTGAAAATTTACCTGGAGTTACAAGGGCTCAATCAGAAAGGTGAATGGCTATAAAAAAGCAAAACAGAAGAAAATTTGCTAGGTAGACACGAGGAAGATTTTGGTATTCACAGAATGGCTAAAAGAATATATATTAAGCTTTTCATATATCTAAATTTCTTAGAGAGAAGTGGAAATGTGATTTTGCATTAGTGCAAGAAGCTTCTTTTCGAGTGTCAGTCAAAGTCAAACAGTAGCCAGCAACAAAGGTGCGGATAACTAAATATAAGCTTGGCCATAATCCCAAATTTATTTTGAAAAATGGAATTTGTATTTGGGTGAAGTTTGGTTTGAAGATGAAAAATGTGTTTGGACATAGTTTTCAAAATATATTTTTCAACTTTATTTTGGAAAAACATATATATAATTTTCAAGTTTTGGGATTTTAGCTTGCTGATTTTGGGATTTGAGATTCAGGATTTGGAATTTGAGATTTGGCCAAAATATGAGCAAAATTTATGGTCAAACATGAATTTTGAAAATAAATCCCAAATTTATTTTGGGAAAACTCATGGCCAAAAAGTCCACAATTCAATTCATAGGATTTCTTTTTCTTTTTTCCAATTCAATTCATAGGATAAGATATATACTTTCGGAATATTATTTTTAGAGTGTGTTTGGTAAGAAGGAAATTTTTTCTTCTGGTGTTCAATTTGGTAGCAACAAATATTTTTTAAAAATATATAATCTAGGCAAACGCGACGGGAAATGAAATAGGTGAGCACGAGGAGAAAGGGAGGAGGGAGCCGAGGGAGGAGTGAGTGGTAGGCCGGGGGCGGACGGGGGAGATTTGTTGGCGCGGGAGATGGAGGGTGGGCGGAGGTTGTTTTCCCTTTGATAGGAAAGTCAATCCGAGGAAAAGGAGTTCATAAAGAAAATATCTTTCAAAATATTTAAGCCAATCAAACATGAAAAAATTAAATAATATTTTGTTTTCCGACCAAACACACCCTTAGTGTTTTCCTTATTTGGAAAGATTATTTTCGTTAAACAAATTTGTGTTCTACTATATCGTGGAAAACTAATTAACAAAAAGTTATAACAATAGACTGGTGATATTTGTGATGAATGTACTACACGTGTCAGTTCAATTTTCAATCATCCTTTTTTGGGTTTCCCTTTCCTTTCTCTAGTTCCATATACAGTCAAATCTTTCTATAACAGGCTCATTTATTCCGAATAGTTTTGGATGTTATAGCGAAGTGCTATTATAGAGAACATATATTATAACATAATATAAAAATTGGTTCCGAAAAAGCTTTATTTTTATAGTGAATTGTTGTTATATAAAGATGTTATTATAGAGAGGTTTGACTGTATTTATTTTTTCACAAATCTCTAATTCTCTAGTTTCATATGTAACAATAAAAATTTGCAAAAGGAAGTATTAAAGAAACAATAATTGCCAATCTTTAATATAATTGCCAATCTTGATGATAGATTTTTCTTACAAGCTTTCACGTGTATACAATTTTCATGACAAATGGATAATTTGGATCGATTGTGGTTTACACAATTATATTTATGTATTACAACCAATTCTGATTGATTTTACTACTTGGGATTTATTAGCCCGTTTGGCCAAGCTTTTAAAATCAGCTTATTTTGAGAAGTGCTTTTCTCAAAAGTACTTTTTAAAAAAGTGCTTTTGGTGAGAAGCAGTTTGTGTTTGGCTAATTAATTTGAAAATTACTTTTGAGCAGTAATTAGTGTTTGGCCAAGTTTTTGAAAACTGCTTCTAAGTGTATTTTTCTCAAAAGTTGCTTCTCAGAAAAGTGCTTTTGGAGAGAAGCTACTTTTTTTGCTTCTCCAAAACTGTTTCTGCTTCTCCTCAAAAGCACTTTTTTTCCTTCCAAAAGCTTGGCCAAACACCTCAATTTTTGGCCAAAAGTGCTTTTGGCCAAAAAAAGCACTTTTGGCCCAAAAAAAGCTTGGCCAAACAGGCTATACGTCATAATTCTGAAGTTGTAGCTCCTTGCTTTTTAGTACTTGATATTATTCAACATTGTCTGTTTGATCAAGTTTTCAAAACGGAAAGGGCTTAAACTACCCCTATTATTTGGTAAATGGTTTACATTTACCCTCCGTCCATCTATTCGTCCAAAAACACACAACACATTATTTTTATTAATAAAATTGTCCCTCCTTTTAACGGGCAACATGTGGGCCTTCAAATTAATGCGCTGGATTTTTACCTGTTCTCTATGTTTTGCAGTTTTTAATAAGTATCTAAGTTTTTCTTACAACTTGTATACATTGCTTCTTAAAAGGCTCTCACCCCATTATTAGTGCCTTCAATTAAGGGATTCAATTACATCCTTTCCATTTTTTTCCTTCTCCTCTTCTCTCTCCTTTTTTTAAAAATCAAAATCCCTTAATCTACGTCCAGAATCTCCATCTTCTCTCTTCACCATTGCCTACAACTTTATATTATTAAAAAATAGTATGATAACTGTATCATAATTGTAGTTGAATTGTATCAGACACATCAATGCCTAAAACATAAATGTATCATACTTGTATCACAGTTGTATCTAACTTGTATTTGGTACATTAATACCCAAAATAATACGTGATACAATACTAACAAATTAATATACAATTATCATATTTGTGATACAAATTGTGAAATTCGTCACAAATTCACAACTGCTCGTAACAATATACAATGAATATATAATTATCGTACATCTGTAATACAATTCGTGCAACAATTATGATACATATACAATTATAATACATCGCGATACATTTCTGAAAAATTGTGATACAATTATAATCTTTATTTTCCTCAAGTTTCAATCACAACTCTACACTATAAATTTAATATAATAGTATTATAATTGTATTAGTATTGTATCCACAACTTACCCACAACTTGATTGTAGAGCAAATATGTGTAAATTAGAGGAATGAGAGGTGTATTTCAAGTGTAAAGTATCCACGACGAAGCAGCTTTCCAAATCTGTGACTGCCTTTGGTTCATAGTTGCCTTGTTTTGTGTAAATTATTTCTTGGAAGTACATATCATTCTTTTTGTTGCTAGTTTGTAATTTTCTCCCCTCTAAGCTGCAGAAAGTTGCAACCTTGTTCTTGTAATCTCTTCCACTATGGGTTTAGTTATTTCAATATAGATTTTGGATGATTGAAAGAGAGAAATCGGATATCAAAAGCTTTAGAAGAAGAAAGAATTTGCAATTTTGGGGATAATAGTGGATGATTGAAAGAGAGAAATCGGATATCAAAAGCTTTGGAAGACGAGTGAGTAAGCGAGATTTTTGGGTTAGAAAGATTTTGGGCACCAGTGGGTAAGGTAGAATTCTTACGGTGGGTAAGTACAAAATTGAAAGATGTTTTTGTAATCCTTTTGGGAAAGGAAGAGAATCTTAAATGTAGGGGATTATGTGTAGCTGATACGCTATATTTAAGGTATGTTGCATTTTCTCTTTTTTATAGTTTTGTATAAAACTAGTAAATATAGGTATATAATGTAATTAACAAGGAACCTAAATAAAGGTAGTAAATAGGTTTCTATTATAGTATAGTTAGGTAAAAATCCCTATTTTTACTAGGCCACGTGGCTCGCCTATTTAGAAATCAATATCCGCCCATTAATCAAATCCGACCCATTCTTTTATTATTTGGGTTAAATATAAATGTATTCCCCTTCTTGACTCTGCCAACGTGACTCAACTTAAAGCCACCCCTTTTTACCCCTAGCTCTGAAATGAAACTACTACTCTTTGACCGCCACTATTACCGCTGAACACTTCATATCCATAACTACCGGAATACACCTAGACTAGCTTTCTTCTAATATTTCATTGGCACCACAATACCCCAATTCTCCTCTATTACCTTCAGCCAATGTCCATCATACCGTCTTTACCCAACAAAGCTATCTCCACCTGTAATTATGAAAAATTAAAGGAACAAAATTTAAGTGTTCAAGTTATAATCTAAAAGCGAGGATTACAGAGACACACATACAAAAATATGCAAACATAAAAATCTGTAGAGAAAGAGTTGCTTTCTCTATTAAAATGAGTCCTTAAAATCAGTAAAAGTTTTGAAATTGGTGAATGAGTAAAGGACATACCAGAACCATGACTGTTGTCTGTACTAATTATTTTCTTCGGTTGCTTTCTTGATTCATGCTTCTTCTTTTGGTAGAGGTCAACTTCGAAATAGTTTTAGGTAAACATTTTTCGATAAATCAAGCTTTCCAGCCACGACAAAAATTAATTCCGGAAACACAAGAGAATAAGGGTTTAATTAAGGAGATTCGGATAGTCAAAATAGAGGGAGAAAGAGGCCTGGGGAAGTGACGACCAGAAACAAAACGGAGGGAGAAAGAGGCTGCCGGAAAAAGTGTGTTGTAGTTGAGGAGATTTGGTTAGTCAAAATGAAGAAAATATAAGGGTAAAGGGGTACAAAAATGGGTCGAGTTCGGCTAATGGGCGGATATTATACTCATATATGATTTCTGAAGAGAAATTTTCATAAAGCACTATCTTTTAGTAGTAATTAGCCATCTATAGATACCATTTGCTATATTACGGAATATAGATACCTTTTCTGTGGTTATAAGATGTATTTGATATATTTAAGCTATTGTATTCATGAATACAGTAGCAAAAATAGGCGTGAATCATGGAAGTCCAGCTAATCAGTTGTTGTATTCGAGTGTATTCGACTGTATTCATGGAGTGAAACATGGGATTACAGCTGGACTGATTATTGTACTCGACTGTATTCACTGCGTGAAATAGGGGATTACACTGTTTTTAAAACGGAAAGTGAATCAATTAACATAATAGACTCCTAATATAACTCAACAAATTCAATTATAACACACAAATTTTGTATTTTTCAGTTATAAAAAAGATTCTCAACCGCAAAATACAATGAAATAGCTAGAATACAGAGGGATACATTGAAATACAATGAGAAAAAAGATACTAAATACAATGAAATACATAGAATACAACGAGATACATTGAATTACAGTGAAAAAAAAGATAGTGAATACAATGAAATACATAGAAATACAACGAGATACATTGAAATGCTCTTAAAAAAAAGGTAACAGAATCTTCAAATTGCTCAACCCCAAACTTCAGACTCCGACGACCCATCGGATTCCGACCATGATTCCATAAGCAATTTGAATGTATCTC